GTGGTAGTTGAAGTATAAAAAAAATAGCTAATAATTGAGTAAAACGATCGACTTGCTACCGGTGGGAGTTATACAAGACTATATGTATAGTATATTGAGATGTGCTCATTATGCAATCCTCTCGTGATTCTGCCTGAATTGTGACAGTGTTAAGTTTAAACATTCTAACAAAAATACATACATATTACTTTATTACAGTCTGATAACTCTCGATATAGCAGCTCCGAACTGAATAGAAAGAGCGAAAAAAACCGGGGCCGACAAAAAATATGAAATCTTGTAGCGGATGGGCCCACAATAAAGGACGCCGGCTGTATCTCTTACAAATTCTAAGAAATTCTAAGCGTTGGTAGAAATGTATGCAACCATGGAATGTATGCCTGGTTTCAGAATTTGGTCCGGAATAACCAGAAACTGTAAAAAAGTCTAATATCAAATTTAAGCATTTTTTGGGATTTGACACTAATAAGGTTTTGTACAACGTCAAAAATAATCAGCAACTCCTCCAACATTCAAAATATTATGCTTGTTGACGTTTTCAACTCTTATCTTTTTATTTGTTCTTGGTGAAAGCATTTAAGATATTCATCGTCTAACACAACCTTTGTGTCAAAATTTTATTAGAATCCGAGCTGTATCTTTCGGAATATAAGAATAGAGAACCTCGTAGATTTTTCGCTGAAGTTGTTCGTACTCAAAACAGTTTTCCACGTGACACGACAGATGGATCTCCGGCAGCTTTTCGCTTTTAAGATTTCAATATACCAACACAAAAATACAGAAAAGATGATACCTACAGGTATCTCCCACTGTTACAGTATAAGGTACAAATTAGAAAAAAACAGAATAGGTATTTTTTATAAAAAAAAAGACAGGCGCTTCAGACAACTAGTTCTACAAGACCTTTTAGCTTCTACGTGTCAGATCGCTGACCAATGGTTTGAAGAAGGTAGACCTGCTACTATGCGTACACTGTAACGTCGCTTTCGAGCCTTTGGACTTTTTTCATACCGTCCACGATTAGTCCTGCCTCTAACTGCGTGCCATCAACGTTTGAACTGGAGCAGAGAACGGCGACATTGGGAGGCAGAATGACATAATCTCATCTTCAGCGACGAATCGCGATTTTGTCCAGGTACGCACGATGGTCGTAGACGGGTAAGACGCCGCCGTGGAGAACGGCGTGATATTGGATTTGCTGTTGAGATGCATGTACACACGACTGTTGAAGTAATGGTTTGGAGGGCGTTTATTTATGATAGCCGATCACCCCTGCTTTTGGTTCAAGGCAATATGACTGATGCGAGTTATGTTGATGATGTCCTACAAATCAGTTTACTGCCGTATCTAGAGGGCTGTCCACAGGCCCTTTTACAGCAAGACATCGTACGTCCCCATATTGCTCGTCGTACTATGAACTTTCTTCAAGAAACAGGCGTCAATTTTTTGCCGTAGCCACCCCTTTCACAGGATTCAAATCCCATAGAACATGTGTGAGATATGAGGGGGAGGAGACTATCCACATTGCACCATCCGTTACAAACTCTTTCACAGCTAATCCACGAAGTTCGAGTTGCTTGGAAAGAGGTGCCACATTTTTTTCTTATTACTTGTCAATAAAATTCCGCGAGAATGTAATTGTTTTACTTTTGATCTAAGGCTACGTTATTGCCAAACAATCAAGTTGAAAATATGTTTTCTGGGTTTAGCACATCTAATGTCACTGAGTATACCATATAGACATAGAGAGCTAATAGTGTTTCGAAAACACTCGGACACTATAAAATCACTCATATGTATACTGAAAGCTTTGTTTCAATTCATAGTAATATTAGCATTAGCATTAGCATTTAAAATGTATCATTCGCACAAATCTTTGAAGATTTCAGTCGGTAATCTTATTTATTTTCCAACTGTCTCCAGTATAGTTCTAATTATACAATTAGAATTATGGGAAATAAATGACATACAAAACCAGATTGAATAATGATGCAATCAAGCACTTAAACGATGAACAATGCACAGGTCAGCGCATCAAACATCGCCGAGAACACCATCCGGAGTGATTCTACTGGTCCGCAGATGTGTGGTATTACTTTATCACAGTCTGATAACTTATTTCTGGATAGAAGCTGAACCGAATAGAAAGAGCGAAAAAACCGATGCCAACAAAAAGGTGGGCACTGAAGAAAGACATTAAACGTAAACAGTGATCAGCACGTGAACAGATCCCTCGAAAGCATCCACGGATATACTCCAGTCACTTTAGGTCTAAACATCCTCGGCAGTGTATTTCTGGTGAATCCACAGACCCTTTTTCGTGTCATCTTGAGACTAGAAAAAGGATGACTGTTAAAATAAGTTACCTTGATCTTTCATGAGCTCCCAGTACAAAACATCATCGATATATGTTTGATGTAGGAACAACAAATTGGTTTAGAAAACATCCACTTTGAACCGAAATTGACTGGAGTAACATCGATCTACAGACAAATTCAGGGTCACTAGCAGTCGTCGGCGCTCTACGAATCTGCACAGGTTTGGACTTGTAAACGTGATTGTAGATGACACGACAGGCATCTAACAGTTAATTCACGCACATGATTGCATTGCATACGCATTACGCATTCAGTAGCGTATACTCGTTTTTCGCGAGTGGAACGTTTTGTTTATATATTGCCTAAGATACGATGTCTGACACAGATACAGCCGACGAAGTGGTTGACATCAGCGCAACCCCACCCAAAAAAAAGGGCTAAGAAGCTACATTTAAGTGCAAATGAAAAACAAATAATATTAAATATATACAAAAACCAAATTCAAGAAAAACCCGATTTGGTCGTGGACGAAGTTATATGTAAGGTAGCACATATTTCTCTAGTATGTCGGTCCAGTGTTTATAGGATCATTAAGGAATATAGGAGCACTCACTCACTTTCTGAGCCAAAACCGTATCCTGCAAGAAAAAGGATAACGGACGGAGTAGATGACTTTGACAGAACTGCCATCAGGAGGAAAGTGCATAATTTTTTCTTCCGAAATGAGATACCTACAGTAGATAAGATATTAAGATTAGTTAATGCTGATGAGGATCTTCCATCATTTAAAAGAACCACATTCCGAAAACTTTTGAAGGAACTTAATTTTCGATTCTTGAAACGGGGAAGAAACAGTATGTTAATAGAGAAAGAAGAAATTGTTGTGTGGATAAGGGAATACCTTAGGAAGATTCGGAAGTTTCGCGATGAAAAAAGAAAAATTTACTATTTGGACGAAACGTGGGTGAATGCTGGACATACTCAAGCGAAAGTTTGGGTCGACAAATCAGTAACATCATCAAGGCAGGCTTTTCTAGACGGTCTTTCGGCTGGATTGAAAAATCCTGCAGGTAAGCTCCTTCATCTATCCGGCAATTTAATTTTGATAAATTCGGGCAAATAATATGCTGTGATAGCAGATAATGTGTGATATTCTCCAAAAATGGTGCATTCGCAGTGTAGTCATTAGGAAAAAAACTTCGACCCTCTTTTAAGCGTTATTTTGAAATTTATTATCATTTTTGGGTGCAGTTAATTTGCTTTGAATGGGTTTTGAGAAGTTGCAAACTTCAATTTTCTACGTTTTTCAGTTTTTGATCAGCATTCCGTGACTCTTAAATTCAGCTAAATGAACTCAATTGCCTCATTCCTTCAAATTTAATCAATCCATAGTGTAAGGAATAATTTATTTCCAGGAAAAGGCAAACGGCTGATCATTTGGCTTTGTTCCCGAAGCACTGTGGGCCTTTGAATCAAAAAAGACAGGGGACTATCATGAGGAGATGGACGGCAATTCCTTTGAAAATTGGTTCTCCAAAATGTTACTAAAGCTGGAGAATAACGCTGTTATTGTACTGGATAATGCCCCGTACCATTCTAGAAAAATAGAAAAAATTCCCACAATGGCAACTAAAAAAGCAAACATACAACAATGGCTGGCCTCAAAACAGATCGATTTTGATGAAACAATGGTCAAGGGTGAATTGATCAATAGACATAAATACAAATACGATTTTAAAATGATCGACGAAATGGCCAAAAAACAAAATAAAACTGTCTTGAGACTGCCACCCTACCATTGTGAGCTGAACCCTATTGAGCTGATTTGGGCCAACATAAAGCAATACGTGGCGTCGAATAATAATACTTATAAATTTTCTGATGTTAAAAATCTCTTTCACATCGCAGTCAATAGAGTTACGGCAGAGGAATGGAAAAACTGTATCCGCCACGTTCGGGAGAAGGTTGAGGTCAAAATGTGGGATTTGGACAATGTCATCGATACCCAAATTGAACCTCTAATAATTCATTTAAACGATTCAGAAGATTCAAGTTCCTCTTCTGAATGAGTGCGCGCAGCTTACTTACTAATAACTAAAAAGTGTAGTTAACTCATTTGTGAACCTCTAACTGAAATTTACTGTAAAAGATAATAATTATCTTGTATGAAATTTTTGATGACTACCCATAATATCTTGATGCGGTCCTGTAATGTCTCCTGCGCCTAAACACTCACTCACGAGCAATATGCGTGTATTTGTTTGGGTTTAGTTTCTTTCTTCAGCGCCTAGAGTATAGAATATGTACTGTATAAATAAATTGTAGCAGAGCAACCGTAAAACGTGTATCTCGCTGCTTCATTTAGGATTAAAATATACTATACTCGATTCGATGGCCCAGTCAAGACCACTAGTTCCGACGGGCATAGGATCTGTTGAAAAATATCCTTGTAGTTTGTTTTTAGTGTCGCTGCACATGGCACTGCCTATAGTTGAGGCGCCCGCGTCCACAGTACCGGTTATACTGATGCTTGTTGTGATGACAATGTGCTACCGTGGGGTGCGAGTGAATTCCGGTTGACAATTCTTACAGAGAGTGATTTTCCTGCCTCGCAGGTACACTGAGGTCTCGCTCACTTCTCGCAAATACCCAAAAGACATCACAAAGACAACAACGACAATATTATTGTTGTTAATTTGTGTGTTACCATCAGTTTATTTCAACAAAATTCACAATAAAATAATAAGATACATAACAAAAAACAATAATGAAATTACAATGGGAAGAACTCATCTAAAGGTAAGTGGTTGAAGGCTTCTTGTATAGTAATTTTGTGCATTTCCGCAATATACTTCACCAACATTGTGGACAATTCATCATAAATTAACATGGACTCTTCTTCTCCATTAAATGTGTCGAGGATTGCTTGTGTGATTTGATTGTTATTCGGAACCAACTCCTCAAAATAATAAACCACTTTTGCTGGTTTCGCTTTTATTTGATAGTCGGTTACTCTGATGTAGTCTTTTCCATTCTTTTTGTACCTTTCGCATTTCATAGTCTGGGTATGATGTAGGTCCACTAAAAATATCACCGAAATATAAAAAAAAAAAATAATATTTGGAAGTCGATATTTAATACATATAAAATATTTGGCCACCCAGGTCGCGAATTCAAAAGTTACCCCTAATTCCATTTAGGCATGACATTTGTCAGGCCATTTCACTTCACGAGCCTGAATCTCAGATTCTTTCTCTCACCAAAGGGTGATTTTGCATGAGGTGGAACAGTGACGGAACATGAGTGAAATTGAAGATTGCGATTATGGTAGTGCAATAAAGGACTTACCTGTTTTGCGTAGCTAATTTTCTGGTGATAGATGAGGTGAAGGCATTGATGTGATGTTTCAGCTGGTTTGAAAGACATATATGGGCTCAAACATTGTTTGATACTTTTTGAAATACACATGTAACGCGTTGAAAAACGGACAAAGGATGTTTTTTTTTTAAATACAAAACGAACACACGGGACGATGCTAAAGAATGCCCTGGTATTGGAGCCCAAAAATCTGCAATATCTAATAATCATCATATATTGCTGCCAGATTGCGTAACTGTCGGAATCCGCTTAATGTACCTGATGTAAATAATGTAATCTGCCGCATCGCGTAGAATTGATGTTGAATTTTACCTATGCTTTTGACATTATATAGGTTTTTTACATAATAACCCTGTCAGCCGGTTTCTTTCAAGACTTGGTTCCTTGATGATGTGGAATGTGCCAAATTCTCAAGGCTCAGATTACATATATTCAAAATATAACACAAAATAGACTTAAACGTATACTTACAAGTTGTAATGTTGCATCTTCCGTGTCCATTTAGTTCAAACATCATTAGTTTCCCATCAATTTCATATTCACCGAACACGCTTAAAGCTGGTGTAATTACGTCGAGTTTCCAATAACAGTCCTTATCTACATCTAATCTGAAAAAAAAGGAAATGACCTTAAGTAGGTTGATGTGGCAGATGGTATCATTCTAAGCAGGGGTTTAGTAGATACGTTTTAAAGGTATTCGACATCATTGTAAAAAGATTCTTCAATTTCTTTATAAAAGATCCCATATTAAGTTATTCAGGCCCTGTCTTTGCTACAGATTTAGCATAAAACAAACTTCACTGGATGAAACCTTAGATAATGGACGACTTGTTTCTGGCAGACTTTGGTTTTAAAGAGGAAACTCATTCAGAGTTGACCATCTCCTGAGGTAACAGGGGGATGAAAAGGAAACGTTAGTGGGCTGGTCTTAGACGGTCGTCGGCGCTACTTTAAAATAGGAAAGGATCACTGGGCGTGCGCACCGATAAAATTTCCATAATAACAGAGTCGGATTTCGATTGGCGATCTAGCCCCAATAATCTCCATTATAAATATCCGAATTTATTCTTCACTACTGTCGGCAGTTGCAGATCTGTTGGCTGTCGGTCTCAAACCTATAACGCAGGCACCGATTTTTTCAAATCGTGTTCACATTATTCGTCGCATTTTCGTCACTTAAATTTCCTGTAATTACTGGGATCAGAAGCTTCTTAGTAATAGAACGTGTTTCATATATCGAAGAAACAACATATAATATCACCTTCCCCTGACCCCCACTTTTTGAACAGTTTTTTTATGACAATGATTAGAAACCCCTGAAACGTCAAAAACCGAGTTCTAGCGATTGTTATCTTTTTCGTTTTTTGCCTATAGCGCCGCCGCCACTAGACTGAAACTACTGGCATAGTAGTAACCTTGGGCAAAAGATTAGCAGACAGACAAACGTAAATGAGTGATATAGTTTTTCGCGATGTAGATGTTTGGTAATACCTAAAAAAACATCTCATTTTCGAACTTTTTCGCGCCTCTGGCGTGCGAAGTAAAATGGGTTTAAGACGGAGGAGTAAAAATTTTTAATTTGCCGAAGCAGCATAAATGTCAGAAAATCAGTAGGTATACACACTATCTTGGGTTTCATTTATTGGCCAGTGTAAGATAGATCTGAGAGACAACCGGAGCATAAGTTCAGAAGTTACTTTTACGTAACTAGTTACGAACATTTACTTCGCATCAGCGATCGCGACTATGAACACCTATTTGCAGAATCATTTATACACGATATTATATGAAATATTGCCACCAAATTATCTCAGTACGTCCTTTCTTAGTCAGTACATGATGCCGCGTCGCTTGGGCTGGCAGCACGAAACAGTAGACAAAATTCGTGCAACATCCGATTTGTAGAGGTTGGCGCGCTTCGAAAGTGACGCTTCATTTTTTGATATTTTCGAATGAATATTTCACAGTGTGCTGAAAACAAGACCCTACAGGGAGCTATCGTGCCACTTTCTCATTTTTCCCACTAGACTCTTTGTAAAAAAGTCGCGAAATTCAACAAAAAGTAAGCACTTCAACCCACCATAAATCTTGTGCAAAAACAAAATTTCAGTAAGTTTTTCAATGGCACCCTGTGCAATTGCCTTCTGAACATATTGTATGAATATCATCCAAAAATGTTAAAAAATGGAGTGTCAGTTTCGAAGTAGCTGAACCCGTGTACATGGCTTGAAACTCACTGCGTCGGAGCCGCCTTAATCTATCTGACCTAGTTCCATGTATTGTAATGGCAAAATAGGCGTAGGTTTTGTCAGACACATTAGTGCAGTAGTAGGGTTTTCATGAAAAAAACCCTCAGATTGCAGCAATGAGCGTGTCCGTACATAGCAGCCTCTTTTCTTTGTGGCTCTGGTGTAAAACTGTTCATTACAAAGCTCGCTTATATACTATATCTACTATACTAGATAATATTACCCACGCATAATGCTGGTATGTATAGATAATAATGTGCCCATCTCGTTAGTATACATCGTGTCTGCTGCCTTCCTACCCAAGATGCAATATTACAACCTCGTGGCGCACGCCAAGTTTTTAGGGCAAACATTTGCCAGACAAATCTATGATGTGTGAAATAGGCGTAGAATCACCTGGGTCAGAAGTGTATTAATATACTAACATCAACAAACCCCCTACAATGTGTGTTGTTTTTTCTTTTTTCGTTTAGGGCGCTTTTTTCCGCGGTCACTTGGCCGATTTTCAAAAGCTGCAAAGCTTTTTCGTCCTTGGCTTACTAGTAACTTAATACAAAAAAAGTTAAGTAACTTATTGTAACAAGAACACTTACTCAACATGCGTAATTGTTTTTTCTTTTTTCGTTTAGGGCGCTTTTTTCCGCGGTCACTTGGCCGATTTTCAAAAGCTGCAAAGCTTTTTCGTCCTTGGCTTACTAGTAACTTAATACAAAAAAAGTTAAGTAACTTATTGTAACAAGAACACTTACTCAACATGCGTAATTGTTGAATTACTCATTCCACCAATAAAAGGTTTTTTGAAACTCAATCGTAATGCTACTTGGCTGCTGTCAGTTTGAACTGTAAACGGATGCATTTCCAGGGGATCTATCCGTGGTATGTGCAGAGCTTTGTCACCTACAGATAAAAATCAAGTACAGGCTCAATAGTTCATGCTCAATTTAAAATATTTCGTAACGGGCACGTCTGGGATAGCCCAGGATCATTAGACATGTTATGCTTTAGAACCGTATTCTGCGTTTCTTTGGGTAAAAATGTCAAATATTCCTCAGCTATGAAGAATTGGAACTCCGAACCTTTTAGGGCTTATATTAACCTCTACATTATTACTTTAACAACATGATACTCATTAAAGCTCAGGCGCAGACAGGCATTTTTCTCAAAGATTGGATGATATATGATACTAATCTACAAAATGTATAAAAACTTCACAGAAGATCGGCTTGAAGAAAGTTCTTCTCAATATTGCGCAACCTTGCGGAATACTCTGTAATTCTAAGAACCTCCTGTTAGTATTGTTAATTTATGATAAAACAATGCAGTTCCTAAATACTCTATTTCAATTATCTACTCAGTGGACATAGTGATGTCATAATTTCGGCATGTTTTAAGCACTACTTACGTACGCCAACCGACAAAAATGACGTAGAAATTACGTCATTATGACGATCTAATGGCACGCCCAATTGCCGTCATTATACAGGGTGACTTTGAAGTTGAGTCATTAATTTTCAGATAATGATTGTAGAAGGAAGATAAACCAAAATATGTGTGTAAAAATAAAAAAAAATTAAAAAAAATGTTACCTTGTTTTATAAAGTATCCTCCCGACAAGTATTTCAGTGCGGACCTGTATTTGATCGTGCGGTCTTGGGGCACCGGCATGCCCTCCCCTGTGAGGTCTTAAGTCACCTGATTCACGAGCCCTTTGTACTACATTAACAAAGGCACGAGGGGTTGGTTGCACACGAATGGGAAACCGATCCGCATAAATCCGTGATGCCGCGGCAGCATTTTGTAAAGACTCCCCCCCCGTAAATAAGAATCATGTCCACAAGTTCACCATTTTCGTAAACATGTGCCATTTTTTATTTCGTTTGAGCCACGCAACAAACACCACTATTCACTCACGCGTTACCGACTGACACACTGACTGAATACAACTAAAAACATCGTGATAAAGCGTTTCAAATTCTTTCGCCTTTTTGTTTCCGATGCGATGAACCGATAAGGCGGATTATATCCGTTGTTGCCAAACACGAGCATATAATATTTTTATTGAGATAGGGCGGTACTCAAACTTCTAAAGGGCTATAACTTTGTTACTTTAATTTTACCACAAAAATGTTAAAGGAAGAAAACATTTCTTTTGATCAGATCTACTCACTGTTAAAATAAATGACTCAACTTCGTCATAAAGGATTTTTTTCGTGAGTCCTCGGTATAGCACAGTGCACTACCGGGAACCGATACTCAAATTTTCGGGAAGAACGGGAATAGGGGAAGACGGATGTGACGTCGTCCGAATGTCAAAAAATCACGTGGTGCAGGTACCTGTCTAACGTCTGTGAGATACTAGGGGGTGACAGGTCTTATGTCAATGTCATTTAAAAACAGGCATCTCAAATGAACATTTGTCTTCGCAGTGCTGAAAATTGAGTTAAATTTTTAAATCATAAATGGAAGACCACGTCCACCTGATTTTAAATGACGAGGGAGAAGGTCATCGAAGATATATGAACCGCACTTTTCATATCAAATGATTGATTTCATTGATCTATAAGTACATTGCACAAAAAACGATCGGTCTTGTTATTTCAGATTCAAACAAGGCAGCTACGTTTATCAAGGAGCTTAAAGCAAACATTTTGCACAACATGCGCCATCTAACCACTCCCGGTTAAACTTGAAACTGTCAAAACTTCGAGAGGAAGAGGAAATTCCATCTGTTCCCGCTCCGGTTCACTACGGGATCTAGCGAAAAAATCTATAGTAATTGGTATAAAAGACCACATTTCGGACTTGACAACTTTGAACTTTCACTGTGAACTCACCTTTAAATCAATTACCGAACTTTCAATGTCAAAATATTCAGTAGAGAAAACATTAAGGATTTTTTCGCGAGCCCACGGTGTAGCACAGTGCACTACCGGGAACCGATACTCAAATTTTGGCGAAGAACGGGAATAGGGGAAGACGGATGTTACGTTGTCCGAATGTCAAATAATCACGTGGTATGGGTACCCGCCTAACGTCTGTGAGGTACTAGCGGGTGATAGGTGTGATGTCAATGTTATTTAAAAAACTGGCATCTCAATCAAAATTTGTCTTCGCAGTACCAATTGAGTTAAATGGAGGAACACGTCCACCTGATATTAAATGACGACGAAGAAGGTCATCGAAGATATATGAACCCCACTTGTCATATCAAATGATTGATTTTATTTCAGATTCAAACAAAGCAGCTAAGTATATCAGGAGCTCAAAGCCAACGCAACATGCGTCATCTAACCACTCCCGGTGTAACTTGAAACTGTCAAAACTTCGAGAGGAAGGAAAAATTCCATCTGTTCCCGCTCCGGTTCACTACGGGATCTAGCGAAAAAATCTCTATTTTCATCATGGTGACGAACACGAACGAACAACGCTTACAAATAATTATATTTCGTATTGCCGTTCTCGAATACCTCATCTCCTCTACCAAGACTCGTCACTGCAATTTTTCGTGCGCTCGCAGCAGGACGGAGAGAAAGATGGGTCGCCTAACAAAGAAAGTGACGCGTAAACACAGAAAAAAATTACAGAAATTGCTGCAACTTTTAGATAGTTCAAGTAAATATATTGTAATTAATTGTTCCCTTCTGTTTTAGCCCCAATTCATTCAATGAAAACGTAAGTACACATGTGCCATGTGCCTATCAGGTTCCTGTTTATTATTGATATTCAGTATTCACATGAATTACTAGTATTAATTAAAATGGTTGATCAATTTCAATGTGCCCCTCGGATATACATGTACACATGTACTATGTACCGATTAAACACTTCTTGATATACAGTATTCACATGAATTACTGGCATGAATAGTTGATTGTTTTCAAAATCATCTCGTTATGCGTATGTACACATGTGCTATGCACCGAATTACTGTTGGCAATGTTATTGGCATATTGGTATTGAATACATAGTATGTCACTCTTTCAAAACAAAGCTGCCGGATAGTGTTTATAAACATGTGAAAATGTTTTTTAGGTGAGTCAGACGTCTCGTCGTTGGAGAGTACAGGGACGGACTCGGATTCAGATCCGCCCTTATCAAAGCATCCAACGCAAGTCCCGGAGCCTGGCTCATCCCAGGATCAGGGTGTACAAAATATACTACAATTCCTGGCTAATCAAGCATCTGCTATAAAAGGACCAGAGGTCAGTACAGACGTAGCAGCCCTGATATCTGATCTGATCTTATCCCTGTTTGGCAAACTGTCCAGCCCTTCAGCCTCCAATGATTAACCCAGAGTTTGGATCTTGTTTAAGTACAAATGCAGTTAAAGAGGATACATTCCTCAGTAAACTTCAATTACAGTTAGCATCTGGGATAAGTGCACTGGCCGTCGGCTTCGATAATCAATATGAAATAAAGAAATCGAATTCTACAGATGAAACACGAGCTGATTTGGAAAGATGCTGTGCTCCACTAAAAATAATCGCAGATGTTTTTCACGCGATTTCTCTTCATCATTGTTATTCCATTCTACCATTTTTGGATGGCAACGTTTGCAAATTTTCTGATACTTGCCCAATTGATGAATTTTTATTTGGAAAAACATTCCCGGACCAATGGAAATCCGCAAGTGAAGCTCAACGATTAGGCTTTTCAATCAAGAAGAAGAAAAAAGCCCTAGGATCAGCATCTTCCAAACCAGTCGTCTATAAAAAATTGGAGCCCAAGCCAGGTCCGTCGAGGGTCTCGTCGACTTTAAACTCCCGGCGGCAGCAACACAAATCTCGCATGAAAAAGGAGGAGGAGAGGTTTCGTTCGGCAAGGTCGTACCGGAAGCAGTAGACAAGGTACATACTCTTTGCGATATGTATGCGGGTCGCTTATCTGCATATGTAAATAAGTGGGCAACCATTACACTAGATTCTACTATTATTTTGTGGTTATCTGGATATAAAATGCCTTTTGTTAAGAAACCTTAACAAAGGCGTTTACCTAGACCTGCTTTTACGCTGCAGAAATCAGATAAATTAAAGGATAGCATAAGACTTTTGATAAACATAGGAGCAGTATCCAAAGCTACCTCAAAACCTGGCCAGTTTTTGTCCTCATTTTTCTTAATACCGAAACCTTGTTGGGCATTCAGGTTTATTCTAAATTTAAAGGAATTAAACGAATTTTTAGAACCACCCCACTTTAAATTGGAAGATTTCAGGACTGTCTTCAAATTAGTTTATAATCACTGTTTCTTCACTAAAATAGATTGAAAAGATGCCTATTTTATGATACCGGTGCGTCAGACATTCAGAAAATACCTCACTTTTAAATTTCAAGGTGTATATTACCATTTTAATTGTTTACCTTTTGGTCTTTGTACAGCCCCATGGGTCTTTACAAAAATTATGAAACCAATCCTTAAATATTTAAGGACTAGAGGTATAATTTGTGTACTGTATTTAGATGACTTATTAATTATCAGTAAGTCAATACAAACAGCTGAGCAAGACTGTCAAATTGCTAGGGATATTTTAGAATATTTAGGATTCTTAGTAAATTACGATAAAAGCTCTATGATCCCAGCCAAACAATGTACCTTTTTAGGTTTTGTTTTTGATTCCACAAATTTAAGAGTGTCCTTACCAACAGAAAAAGTGAAAAACATGATTGAACTATTAGAGACTTTTCTACGCCGCAATCGGTGTTCTGTTTTAGTTTTAGCTCAGTTAATAGGAAAACTAGTTTCCGTTTGCCCGACTGTACAATATGGTTGGGTGCACCTTAAGATTCTAGAACGCGTTAAATATGTAACATTAAAAAGACACGAGCAAAATTTCAATACCTCAGTAATAATTTCAGAAATAATGCGATCAGAAATATGTTGGTGGCATCACACTCTTATGAATAATGAAGGTGTAGCTATTGTTACAGATAGGAAATTCATACTTGAGATTTTCTCAGATGCTTCATTAACTGGTTGGGGTGCCTTTTGTCAGAATAGAGGTACTAACGGGTTTTGGAATGTGGACGATGCTAACAGACACATTAACTTTTTGGAGTTACTAGCCGCATTTAATGCACTTAAATCCTTTGCCTCCAATATATCTTCTTGTTCAATTCTTCTTAGAATCGACAATGTAACTGCTATAGCTTGCATAAATCATATGGGTAGTGTAAGATATAAGCACCTTAATAACATCACACTCCAGATTTGGGAATGGTGTGAGAATAGACAAACTTTCATAGTAGCATTATATATAAATACAACAGATAATTTATATGCAGATAGATCGAAATCTATCAACCTAGAATATGAGTTATCGAGTTTGGCTTTTCGAGAAATTTGTTCTAGTTTCGGGAAACCGACTGTGGATTTATCCGCGACACAGTTAAATGCCAAAGTTCCTAGGTATATTTCTTGGAAACCAGATCCTAGTTCTTTTACAGATGATGCAGTTACAGTGTCTTGGAGAAAAGAGTTTTTTTATGCGTTTCCTCCTTTCTCACTCATATCAAAATGCCTACAAAAAATTATTGCTGAACAAGCTTGTGGAATTCTTGTGGTTCCTAATTGGACAACTCAACCGTGGTATTCCGTTTTCCATAAATTATTGACAGGAATATCTATAATCTTTTCGCCTAATAAAGCCCTTCTCTCTTCCCCTTCTAGGGGATGCCATCCATTGTGGAGAACACTTTCCTTGGAGGCTGGGAGTTTATCGGGGAAGCTTTTCTCAGACGAGGAGTGCCAAAAAGTGGTGGCAATTTTGCATAAGCAAAGGCTATATTCCTTTTTTGTATTCATTAGACGCAGTCATTAATTTTTTGAGTGATCAATTTCAAAACAATTGTTCCTACTCAACACTTAACTCACAGTAAGCGGCATTAGCGTTGATTTTTGAGATAAATAGCTCAGATAAAACTATTCTAAAACGGTTTCTTAAAGGAATTTTCAATCAGAGACCATCAAGACCTAAGTATCAATCAACTTGGGATCCTCAACCAGTTTTAGAGTACTTATCTACCTTGTATCCCTTAACAGAAAGATCTGTTATGCAATTGACTATGAAGTTAGTTACTTTGTTAGCTTTAATTACTGGCCATCGATTACAAACGTTCACTTATATACGATTACAAAATATAGTTCGCCATACTGATAGAATAGAAATTAAAAAACTTCATCTTCGAAGGGTCTTCAACTCCTTTTAGTGATCCCATATTTTCGGGAAAACCCAAGCCTTTGTTTAGCCTCAACTGTCGATTTCTATGAAATAAAAACCAGAGGCTTTGATACTGATTTTCTTATTTTAACAGTTAAGAGACCTATTCGCCCAGTCTCTACACAGAGATTGAGTAAATGGATCAAACTGACCCTTCAATCAGGCGGTATTGATACCTCTATATTTTCTAGTTATAGCACTAGGCATGCAGCTACATCTGCAGCCTATAGAGCTGGAGTCTCTATTGAAATGATAAGAGAGAGGGCTGGTTGGACACAGAAATGTTTGCTAAGTTTTATAATCGCCCTCTTTGTAGTGATGTTACGGCCTTTGCTAAAGGTATCTTGAGTTTAAGCTCAGTTTAGTATATTTTTTTTTTATGGATTAATAGAGTTTGATGAAATTCTATACTACTTTTTGAAGAGAGAGTAGTGAACTGTTCATAATATAATAATTTGTATTAGAAGATAGTATTATTGAATTGTTTTGTTTAGATTCCTCTATTAGATCTTTACGAAATAAATATGGTGGCATGATCCCGATTCGGACTCTTCTTTGAACATCTACAAGTGGTTACTTTGTAATTCGAGAACGGCAATACGGAATATAATTAATTGTTCCATTGACTTACCTTAAGGAAAATTGAACCATATTATATGAGTATTGCCGTTCGAAGAATTACAAACCCACCCATCGTTTTTCATCCCTCCCACTGTTCCGATCGGGATTATCTGCGTAAATTGCAGTAACGAGTCTTGGTAGAGGAGATGAGGTACTGGTCTGTGCCGGGTATGGGCAGGGGCGGGGAGCATATTTTTGCTTTGAACTTCGTGCTGGTGCGAGCGGGAAAAATTGCTACTACAAGTGGTTACTTTGTAATTCTTCGAACGGCAATACTCATATAATATGGTTCAATTTTCCTTAAGGTAAGTCAATTGAACAATTAATTAAAATTTACTACCGAAATTCCGAGTCGATGACTGCACTTTAAGAGCGATAACGTCAATTGTTGTCCCAGTAGACAAGCAGGTCGTAGTCTAGTGAAAACAGCCTTCGCCCCAAAGGAACAGAACACGTCGATTCCACGGCGTTCTCATCGCTCAGACCAAACTATGGCGAATTTTGCGTAGAGATCTTGGCTTGCATCCTCATAAGGTCAATTTAACTCAAGAACTAAAGCCTTTTGATCATATGAACCGACGTAAGTTCTCGAATTGGGCTCTAGAAATGTTGCAAGTAAATGACCTATTTCATCGCAAAATCATCTTCAGTGATAAGGCGCATTTTTGGCTGAACGGCTGCGTCAACAAATAGACTATGCGTTATTGGTCAGGTAAAAACCCTCATGTGCTTCAAGTAACACCACTTCATCCACAAAAAATAACTATATGGTGTGGTTTTCATGCCGTCGTGACGTCATTGAGCCGTTTTTTTTTCGTTTATGAAAATGACCGTCACGTTACAGTCAATGGAGATCACCAAAGAGACAAGTTGCAACGTTATTTTTTTGATCAATTGGATGGACGAGACATTAATTATATGTGATTTCAACAAGACGGTGAAGCAAGCCACACAGCGGGTGAAACAATTGACATACTGAAATCAAAATTCGGTAAACGTGTTATATCGAGAAATGGTCCTGTCGAATGGCCGCCTAAATCGTATTATTTAACACTTTTTATGGGACTACATTAAATCATTGGTTTATGCGAAGAAGCCGGCGTCGTTAGAGGAGCTCAGAGCCAATATCGACCGAGAAATAGCGGCCGTTTCTGTGTGGCCGAGTCATTGAAAATTCGGTTCAACGAATCGATCGCTGAGAACATGCCCGTGGTGGACATATAAACAAGGTCGAATTCCATACATAAATCTTTTGAGTATACTTCAATTCAGTAATAAAATTTTCGAGATATCTCAAATGGTTTGCGTTTTATTTAAAAAGAAAGTCCTTAATGGAATGCCATATACAAAGGCCATATGATGACTGTATCACGAGGGTACGACGTCTATCTGAGGTTGATATGACGTCTATGTGACGTCGATAAGACGTACAGTCACTCGCGCGGTGTATCCAAATGCTCCTGAAAAATTGCACCACAAGCAGTGATTCCAGGATTAGTAGAAAGGAGCCGAAACTCATATTCTACTTACCTACCATTCTAGACCTCTCAGAGCTGTCGTTATCACCTCAGCAATTTTTGAG